AGAGACAGGACCAATTGTCAAAATTTTGGTGTCGATCATTCGATTTCATCCTGGACACTACAGAAAATGGGCTAAAAGTGTTAAAAACCGGAATTTTCCTTTAAGTATAGGTTTAGGTCAAAAATATTAATGATTGTGTCCGCTTTAAATTACTTTCCTTTATTCGTAGTGGCAAATAAGGAATGTATCCTTCACAAGGTGGCAAAGCTATCCAAAAGAAATTTGAATTTTAGAAGTTTTGATTCATTTAAAAAGGATTTCCTTTTTTTCTTTTTTCATAGTCAAACCTATCATATAATCACTTATAGGCTTTTTTGCATTTTTCTCCTAGTATCTTCACTTTAATTTAGTTAGATGACGAGCTCAAAGGCCTTCTCGTTATCCAGACAATATTTTTGTGCCTCTTCAGTTTTTCGATAAGATTCAAATCTGTGCTCTTGCTTGGCTACATTATTGTGACTTCCTATTGTGTAAGATTAGTTTACCCACATTCATTGCTGTGGATTTGCCATAAGAGAATTTAAAGCAGGAAATACCACTGTAAAAGCCTCATTGGGGCTCTATTTGACTTAATCCAATGACTTAATCCAAAGGTCTGACAGCCCCCCTCAATTTACAAAAATCTTTAGGTACTGTAGTGCCAGGATCAGGCCATTTGAACAGAATCATTCAGTAAATTACAATATTTAATAAGGTTAATTTATTTCAGTTGGTGAGTTCACTATGAAAGCCACAGTCTGATGTTTTTAAGCCTTTTTAATCACTACTATGATTTTATGAGGTAAACACTCCAAACACTAACTAGCTTTAAGACCATCAAAAACACAACATTTAAGACAAACTGAAAAAGATAACTTAGAAATGACAGCTGAAATGTTATAGATGTAAATTATTATATACAAAGCCTGTCTGAAATTAAGTCCAAGTAAGTTGTGAATTTCTCATGCAGCTATTGAAATGCATAATGTTTTTGTTAAACTAAACCATCAACATCATATATAGAGATGATGAATAAAGTTGGAAAAAGTTCAAGATGGAGCTGATAATTTTACTACAGTAATAGGCTACAAAATGCAGCATGATTCATAAAAAAAATCTTCTGGCTTTTGAGTCTGAGGTTAAACAGTGCTGTTAGGTCTGAGTTTTTGTGTCACTTTTTACAACTACATGCTGCAACAAAGCCTATAATTAGCATTTTACATGCTGCAGCTAATATATAATCATAATTATAAAAATCATAAAAAAGTAATATAACATTATTTTCTTCTCTGTATCACAGTTGCAACTAATGGTACAGACAAAGCAATTTCCTGTATTTAAAGATAATTTTCTGTAATTATAGGTAAAAAAATCCAAATGCAAGTGGAGTGTTTCTGGTGAAAGCCTTGTCATATGATGATCAGGAAAACACAGACAAAAAAGCTTTTTGTGGTGAGAGTGCAGAAATGTCATGACTTTCTTCACACTGAAGTAATGTTCTCCAAAATGTCCGCAACCCCAGCAAAGATAGAACAGTTATAAAGACCCCCAAAAATCACAGGGTAGTCTTAGTCTAGTGTAGATGGGCTCTTAACTAATTGAGTTTCATGTTCTAAAATAACTGCATTCATATAGAGTTTTTGAAATTGTGTATTGCTGTAGCAGGAAATATCTACACATAAGATACCGGAACTTCTCAAGACGGGGGTCTGTTTTTCTCCCATCCTGCGACCTCAGATGTCAGCCCTGAACGACAGCAAAGCAGAAAGAACAACTTCAACATCGACTTCTCTCACTCATGTCGGGAACAAGCCGGCCACAGAAAACTCAGCAGCTGAATTTAAACTGTCTAACAGTGTAGTGTATGCTGTCATCAACAGCAAAACTGGACACCAGCCAATCTAGAAAACAGGATCAAAAGGAAAATTATAGTTTTAATAAATTGCCTTAAATGTTCTGAAATTTTCACATAGTTGAGTTAAACAAAAAAACATACTTGTGGAAAGTTATCATGGAACAGGTTTTAGTTAAGTGACACAGCACAAAGAGGACTGTGGTCTTAAGGCTTTTAGCTTTAAAGTGGTATTCTGCTTTATTGAAATTTTCATTATGTAATTTAAAACTTTGAAAGCATTATGTTCTTAAATCTGTTTATTTTTCACATCGCTTTTACGTGAGATCAATAAATAATGGAAATGTTATGCAAGTTCAAGAACTGACATCAAGAGAGAACACAAAATACCATTCAATCACATATTTCCTGTACATCATATGCAGTTTGTCACAGTAGCTGCAGGTAAACTGTCCTGACTTCTAAACCACAGCTGAGCGCGTTGGCTCAAAATTACAGGAAGTTAAACGACTTTTGTGTTTTTTGTTTTTATGTGTGGTGAGAGAAACATCATTCAGTCTAAACATAAAGACAGTTAGGACAAAAACAATTGGTATGACACTGAAACATAAAATAAAATGTTTAATCTTCAGTGTTGTGAAATAAGACCAGTCACATCTTATTGCAAAAACATTTGGATAAATTCATTACCGGTACTTCTTTATATTATTATCTCATCCCACAGAATTTTTTTTTTTATATTTTGTTCAAGTTTTTCTTTTAAATGGAAGTAACAAAAATATTCTTGAAGGAACTAAGTCATAAATCATGATTACTCAAATCTAAAAAAAAAAAAAAAAGTAGAAGTTAAAAGCTCTAGTGATGGGATGAGGGCCCTCCAACATTAAAGTAAATTGTTAAAGTAAAATGAAATGTTTCTTTAATATGTATCTATCTCTATATATCTTTATATATGTTTTCCCTTTTTTTTTATTACAAATGGTGGCTATGGATAATTAATCCAGTCAGATGGGGGATCTAAAGCTGGATTAGGTCTCTGAAAATAGCATAGATGTTAAAAAGATGCAACTATCTGCAATCTGTGCATTTAGTATTGCAATGAAGTGTCATTTAATATTGATTTAGGCTAGTTAAAGTTGTTTAGATTGTTTTTGTAACCCAAAATGCAATTTATTTGATTTGATTCCAGTGACTACTAATAAATATTGCACTCTCACACATACTTTATATGAATGACAGCAAAAATCTGCAACCCTAAAGCTATATGAAGTAAAGCTGGTGGATGAGTGATATTACATGGGGACAGAAAAAGTGGCAATGTTTAAGGGGTGGAAAAAGAAATAGATATTTCAGGCAAGTCAAAGATGGAGAAACGTTATGACTACAGGAAAGCTGCAGGGATAAACCTTTTAACAGCAGTCTATCGGTATATCTGCCATTATGACTTTAATGCATGGAGACTTTTAATGGATAAGGAGAAACAATAGAGGTAGGGCTGTAAAGCTCTTATCCAGAGTGACTGAAACTGTTCATATTTTAGTGATAGCTCTATACCAGAGATTCCAAGCTACAGATACAACAATGAAAAGGTTTAGACATGTACAGAGATAAGAAATTAATTTAGAGGGTTTACTGTGATGTATCCTGAAGGGAGGAATTTCCTAAGACAGAGAAATTCTTTGAACAGGATGGAATCAGTTTTTCCTAAATCATTACCTTTTTTATTATAATCTGCTGCAAATCAAATAGATTTTGTAAGTAAAGCTGTGACTTTACTCAAGATGTAATAAAATAGCTGCTCACATGATAGCCCTGCAAACTTATTCCATCATTAAGAGCCCTAATCATTACTTGTCTTGCTGAAATATCATTTTCATTTTATCATAGCAATAATAATGTCCCTTTACAATACAGTCGCTCTAAAAACGTGTGATGGATAAAAATACAAAAATATGCTGAGGATTTCCATGATCTTGCTATATTCACAGTGGAATGCTTCCCAAACAGTTGAAGGTGAAAAGCTGAAACAGAACAGCATATTAATCCCTCCTTGGGAGGAATAGTTTTGTCTCTCTGTGGGGAAATTAATTCTTTCTGCAACTGTGTCTCCAGTTGCAACACACACACAACCTCTGTGAATCATTTTTTTTTTCTTTTGGCATTTTTTGTTACCAGTAGACCAAGTTCTCACCGCCACATACTAAAAGCAGGATCACTTGTGTGATCATAGAGGTTGCTTTTGATGTTCCTTTAGCTTTTCGCAGCCACAAAACCAACACTACCTATACACCAGCTGGAGAGGAAAGAAGGTGGGTATAAATTGCAGATACACTCCTCAAACAATATGATATATATACTTATACACATCCATGTAAAAATTCTTCTTGCACATACATACAATCATTATATTTCTGAGACGTGTAATGTGAGGCGAATTCCTCTGAGTAGTTCAACAACACAGATCATTCCCGAAATGGTTGAAATAATGTTTCAGAGATGGTGGTGTAACACAAATTCCTAACTCAACTAACCGGCCTCCTGGCTAATGTAATCAAGAACCTCCTTCATTTCTACTGCTCAGTTTTGAGAAACGCAGAGTTAGATATGTCACACAATTTCTGCAGGCAAAACAAGCATTATAAATGTTACAAAGTACATTTTTGGAATACATTAAGGTTTTGTTTTATTATTTCCTAAGATCCACTCCCACTTCTCTTGCATAAAGGAGAGAAAATTCTCAAAAAAAAAAAAAAAAAAAAAATAGAGCATCTGGCAGGCAGCTTTGGTATAACAAGGTCGAATTGGATTTTTCCCTGAATCCAATTTAAGACATACAGCAAGAGCTGAAAACGGAATCACAGAGAAACACCAAGGTTACTTTTTCAGTCCTTTAATTATTCTATTACATTTACTTTACAAGTGTTGGTTTTCTTAATGAGTCTTTACTGAAGTACAACTGAAATATAGTACTTCTGTGTGATTGAAAGTTAAGAAAGTGAGACTAAATGCAAACCAGACGCTTCAGTAAGCAGTGTTTCAAATCATGGCTTTGATGTTTAAAAGCCATAATATGAAAGCAATACAAAATAAAAATCTACTAGAAGCTTCATTATAAATGTTTATGTCTGATTTTTAAATAACAGGGTGGCCCTTTGAGATATTTAACCTCCAATCCTGATGTATTTTTTTTAAGGCTTTGAGACACAAAGGGCTCGACTGCACAGTTAGAAGCAAGAAAACATTCCTTTCAGGGGCAGCTCAATTGATGCAAGCCATCTGACCGAGGAATTTAACCTTTAACAAAAACATATGCGCAAGCAAAAAAAAAAAAAAAAAAAAACATGTTGCAAAAAGGCAAGAGTTATGCAAAATATTTGGAATAAAGTGCAGAACCACCGAATAATGACTGAAACTCAGTCAGACTGAAAATATTGTGTGGAGAGCATGTCTTTCCAATGATTTTCAGTTTGATTTTTAATCCTGCTACAGTTGAAATATCACCAGCATTCCTGTCCCTGCTGAAGGAATAAATCACAGCAAACTGAAGCTCTGCCACCAGGTTTTATTGAGGGGATGGATTTCCAAATCAATGTGCAGTTTTTTCTATTATCTCCCTTGGTGCTTGATTTCTTCTCATCTACCAAAGCCCCTTTCTCCATATTTATGATCACTATGTTGATTTAGAGAAATATTCTCTAAGTATAATTTCTAATTGTTACTCTTCTAATATGGTCAGACCCATAGAGTATAACCGCCATGTCATACTGACATAATCTCCTACCTAAGCTGTGGATCATTGCAGCTCTTCCACCTCTATGGAGTAGTGCTTTCCGCTTATTATTGCATAATGATGGATGATTTATGACCTATAGCTGCTTTATTATTCTCCACCTCTTACTAACCTGTCTGCTGGATTCCTTGACCGTTGTGCTCTTTGTTCACAAATAAACCTCTAAAGAGTTCACAGCTTTACTGTATACTGAGATTAAATACAAAATACTGTAGAAATGACTAATACTAAGATGACTTCTTATCGCTGTAGTGTCACTGGGATTGCTAAAAACAGTTTACAACTTCCCTTTCACTTTGCAACACGTTGTGCTGGCATGTAAAACAACTTTCCAACTTTATATTTAAGTTGTTTGTTCAGATGGTGTTCTAAAAAGGCATCTGTTTCACCTGGGAGATCAGAGGAGGGAGAACAGCCTGTCTAATAGACTGTATAACCTTTACTCACAGACAAGACTTGCTTTTCTCTTGTATTATTAAAACTACATAATATTCTCCAAAAAATATTCATATGGTTCTCTGCTGCGTTTTTCCTAAGTTTTTAATACATTTTAGTGAGTAAGAAAAACAAATATTAGAAAACATATTTATGGTTCATGGAAAAAACAGAAGCAAACGTTTTCTCAATACATGTGGTTCTGCAAAAATGACTCCACTTCTCTCAGCTGCTGGAAGGCTCTGCTGTTGTTGAATAGGCTGACATCCGCTTAATCAGTGAATGGAGCTGAGATGATAGAAAAAGAAGTCTATGGAAGAGTCGTCACGAAGCTGAATGTCATCCAGTTGGTAATGATAAATAGGATTGTGTTGTACAGCCCACAAGGAAATTTGACACCGTCTTCCGTTTTCATCAACGCACTAATAAAGATGGTGATGATGATACGGCAGGTAAAAGGTCTCATTGGGACAGTCCTGCGAAGCACGGCCTCTTCATTCAGCTCTGTGCGTGTGTGCAAAATTAAACATCTGCAAAGAAGAGTGTAAAGAGAGTTTATGTGTTTTTATCTTCTTTTTTTAAGGAAAATTGCAACTTTCAATCTGAACTTAAGTTCAGCACACATGATTTTGAAAAAATCTGTCTCAACTCCCACCCCTTCTAAAAAAACAAAATACTATTTGAACAACACAAAGCTTTTTTTGTTTGTTTTTACAGCCATATTGAAGGCGGCATGTTTAATCATGCTTGAATAACAAGAACCAGAATCCGCAACAAAATCCTGAGGATTTTCAGGTGCAGCGAGAGAAAGAGACACTCGGTTTGGTT